GCGGGGGGGGAGCACCTGACGGCGGCCGCAGCGGAGCCGGGACCCCTCAGGGTTGGGGGGGAAACTGGCGGAGCCTATAAGTTCCAGCGGACAAGTGCTGACAGGGCTGCCGTACGGAGCAGTGGCGGCGGCGGCGGCGCTGGAAATGGGGAGGACCGCGGCTTCCAACAGGTCTGCATGAGTATGTATGTATGTATGTATGTATGTATGTATGTATGTATGTATGTGCCTTTGTGGTGTCTACATGGATGTGTATGTGTCCCCGGGCGCAAGGGGGTTGTTAGAGCTGCCCCCGGGGGCTGGAGCAGGCGGGACGGTCGTCCAGGAGCCGCGGTGGGGGAAACCCACGGATGTACGATTACGACACGCACACCCAAAATTAAGATAAAGAAGCGAACGGGCAGTTTCCACCCCCCACACACACCATTTCCCCCCCTCTCCCCCGCACGCTCGTACGCAGGAGACACGGGCCCCCGGTGCGGGCCCCGGGCCGGGGGCAATGCGGGGGGAAACAGAGGGGGCTTCCGGGGAGAGAGGGAGGGGGAGGCCGCATCGCAGGACGGCAGTAGCAGCAGCAGGGGGAGGGGGAGGAGGCTGGCGGGACACGGGGGCAGTAGGAGGTGCGCTCGGCGGCTACAGCGGCTTGAGCGCTGAGGACATGCCGCCCGTGTTGCCGGGGGCACTGGCGTCCACCCCGCATCCCTGTCGTAAGGTACGGCAAGTGGGACGGAGCTGGGTGCGCTGATGAAGCGGGGTCAGTCACTAGAGAGGGCACGTGGCCCTGTGTGTATGTATGTATGTATGTATGTATGTATGTATGTATGTATGTAAAGTTGTTTTACCTGTACCGTGGCCAACGGTAATAACTAATGCTGGTTGACGGGTAGAACGTGACCCAATAGGTTTTACATTATATTGAGTTTACATGTAACGTTACGACGGTGCTGACGTGCAAAATGGAGATTTTGCGTTTGGAATTTTTTCCCTGCACCGGCTCCTTCACCTAAAACTAATACACCATTTTCGGCTACATGATTGATTCTATAATTACCTTCACATCCCTTCAGAAACTATTCTTCTTATTATTTCTGGGGAAAATATCGACCCGACATTACATCATGACTAATAATTTACTCATATACCTGGTCAACTGGTCAACAGATAAGTATAAGGGGAAAGTTGTAGCTTTATAGTTCTTATACTACTGAACTTGATCTTGCCAACTATTCCGGACTATAGCGACGAAGCAGAGATACAAGCACATAGCATATAAGAACCACCTGACGAGAAGTGGAACGCCGCCCCGCCCCCCAACACCCCTTTTTCAATCCCCGCCTCGTTTCCATGTGAATGCCTATGCACGTATGTATGTATGTCGGTATGTCCCGCAGGGCGGCGCCACGGTATTGAGTCCGGAGCACTTTATCCACCTCCCCCGGCTGTTCTTCCAGGACAACTTCGACATCAGCTCCGTGCTTGCTGGCGGGTTGCGGGTTCAGGTGCAGGCGGGGGCGGTGCTGGACCCCGCCACGGCGACCGCGTCCGTGGCCAGCTACCAGAACCACACGGGCTACCGCTACTACAGGCTGCTCGGCTTCAAGGACGTACCCCGGTGCGGGGTGGGGTGCGGGTTGGGGTGCGGGTTGGGGTGCGGGGGTTGGGGTGGGG